CTGAACTCAAGATTCCTGCTTTGGTCTGCTCATGTACAGTTAAAATTGAGATATTATTCTGTCTATATAGATATAGGTCTAGTATACTTATACATTGAATACACATATATATCATCAGAATAACATCCTTTCTGTCATGATAGTTCCCATTCAGTTTTGCATTGTGTAGTCTTCAGTTGTTTGCTTCATCTTAAAATACTTTTACTGCTACCTCACTACACTTCTGATTTCACTTTACTGTACTCAAGCTTAATTTGAGCAATGGGAGTCTTCTACTCCCATCTTCAAAACTTTCTCTAGAGGAAGCGATTCCATTAATGAATCACGGATTTTAAAGTAACATGATTAAACCAAGAATCTACCCCACATTTTCTTCAACATGTTCAGGCAGTACTCACATTTTTGCATTTGACTAGAGTAGATACTTCTTTATTAACTCATGTAATATAAAAGCAATGCCAATTTGCAACAAGTAATAAATACAAACCTAACTTAATACAGATTAACAAGGGTGTTACTCATAGCATCAAAAATACCTGCCTGTAAGAACATACAGATTTTTCTTCTCTCAGAGATTCTAGTTGTTTTAAGAATAACTAACCAGATTTAAAATTTTTGAAGTGGAAAAATTACATTCACTTACCCCAATGTTAAAAGTCCCATTAAAATAGTCCAAATTCGCTTGAATAAACCAAATATTGCTTAAACCCAGTTCATCACTTCTGTCTTTAGCACGGATGAGAGACAACTCCTTATTTTCTATAAGCACAACCTAGATTTCGCACGTAGGGGAAAGTAAAACAAAACAGTACTGAGAAATCAAAGTTCAACACTACCAACAAGCACAAAACTTTGTAGTTTAGTTAAGAAAACCTCTAAGTTACTTGTGGCAAAGCTTGAGAGATCCCAAAATGACTAGCAGGAAAGTCAAAAACGATGTAAGGCATTTAATACTTGCCAATATTAATCCGCTTGCATATATTTAATATTTTCCTGTAATATTTTTTTTCTTCACATCAGGAAAGCATCACACACATTTAGGATTATACTAAAAATGTGCAAATTTCAAATCTAAGTCCTCTGCTGAGACAACTGTGTCTTCATAGTTATTCTCTCCCCCTACATGCACATCTTTTTAAGATGATTCTCAAAGACCAAAAGCTCCTACTGTCTGTCCTTTTTGTTAAGAATTTACCTGACATGATGGCAGCATGTGAGCAAGAACAATTCCAACATGGCCCTGTGAAAATAAAAACAAACAAAATCTGAGTCAGTTTTCAGTGTCCACTGCTGTCGACTCACCAGATGCTAAGCATGCCCTAATCAGTAACAGAACCTTTGAAATCAGCTAAAATTTCAGCATTTGTATTTTTGTTTTTGTGGCAGCAACCACCTAGAATAATGAATATGAAAACTGAAAGAAATTGCATTATGTAAAGAAAAATATATATTACCCCTCCACTGCAAAAGTCCACAATCACATCTCCAGGCTTTGCAAGCTTTGTCACTGCTGCTACCAAATTATTCAATTGCTGCTGCTTCCTCAGAGCCCGGTCCCTAGACATCTTTCCTGGGAATGACAGAGAAAAACACCTAAATATTGATCAGCAGTTCTCAACACTCATAATTTTAAATGGGTAACAGCAAAGCATTGCAAATGAAAGTTATGGCTGAGCCTAAAAACTAGCTGGAACACGTAGGCATTTGAATTCACTTTGAGCTAAATTCACAAGCGTTTGGTAGAACTTTCTCTATACCTTTAGAGTATTTTTAAAACTACATTCCAGTTTTTGCTGTTAATGTATCCTTCGAACAAACTTCTATAAACATACAATAAATTAACCAAATTGGTCTAAGTTCTAGCCTGATAATATTCCAAACCTACGAATCACGCCCAGAAACAGAGCTCAAACCCATTCACAGTAAGGTTGCCAAAATAAATCCCTACTTGCTGTATCTATACACTATCCTTAAGAATCTTGTTTTTAAAATCTGTACTCTTTCACCTGTTAATTTTCACTTTCCATAATAAGCAACCCTGTTTATTTAAATGTCTGTGTGTGCAAGGAGGTACTTCTCAAACTGACTACTGTGTAGCCAAGTCTGGCTTTCCATCACATCTGTACCACAACCAGAAACAGAAAAACTATTAATTTGTTTCAAATGTGCTTGGTAAAGCCCACCATACAGTGGCTTCAGATATAATTAATTTTAGTCAGCACTTACATATTTGTAAAGATGCATTTTGTCTCAGTGGGGCTAAGAGAGTGCTGACAGACCTATTTAATATTATTTTTGTTTGTTCAGAAAGCAGAGTTTTACATAAGATATTGACAGTAAAAATATTAATGAGTTCATCTTTACAGTAAGAAAAAAGATACTGAAACAAACGCTCTTGAATGAGTTTTCATGAAGGAGGTTTAGGTGTACCAAACAATCCTAATGTTCTCTGAAATATGAACATACTACCTACTTGGAGCACCACATTATATTTAAGTATGGGCACACTCTAGTTCTGTATTGAATTCATTAACTTTGTCTATTAAAAGTACATTTATTCCTAGTACAGAGGAGTAGTTTAAAATAAAACCCACAAATCAGTGAAGTTTCCTCATTACTCCAAAAGCAGTTCAATTCTCACCATCAACATAAATTGTATTTATTATAGTTTATAGTTCAAATGACTACGCTGGAAACGTATTGTTGTATTATATTTTATTGTAAATAACAGTTTGGTTTACAAATAAACCATGAAATTCAACAAACTCATCAGATAAAATTATCATTACACTGCTCTGTGTAGAATGAGGAAAAAAAAAATCCTTTCTCATGATACTACACTCTATACTGTTGGGGCAAAGAAAAGAGCAAAACTAACAGGAGAAGGCAGAGGAAGTAGGACAAAGTTAATTCTGTTTATTGCACAGTCATTTAAAAAAAAACAAATCAAACAAACAAAAAAGGAGGAATGATGTTTTAAAAAAAATATTCCTAAGTGACTGCATTGCATGGTGACATATTAAAGACATGGACTACTTCTTAACGGAAATTAATTTAAATGCCAAGTGATTTACAACAACCTCCTCACTTCTTACCAACTTTGTAAGTACAAACCAGTACATTTTATAAAAATAATACCACTGATACATTTCAAACATTTTTTCTCTTACACTTTGTGAAAGTTACCATAAAGAAGAATCTCAGTTTTCCAATGACAAAAATGTATACAAGAACGGTGGCTATGAAACCCTTACCACATTGTGTACAATGATAAATGCTCTGTAAGGAATCATGTTTTTCATGAGTAGATCCTTGGAAAAACCTTTTACAGAAGACTACAATGGAAATACTAAGTCTTTGTGTGCCAAATAGCTATGTGAACTACTTCATAGCTTGCCTCTTTCATGCTTTCATTTGATAAACTGATGTTTTCAACACCTACAGCTCCATCTGCAGCCAGTGGAGGATGCAGGCATTCCAGCACACACAACATCAAGTGCTGTCACAGTGTTTGGTTAGAAATTCAGCTTGTGAGGTCAAACCTATAATTTGTTAGGTAGACAGATATTGTTATATTAATACCTAGAAAATCCTGTACCTAAAAACCACACAAGTATGTTCCCTGTGTACATGTACGTGTATGCACATGCCTGCACACACTATCACAATGGATTGTTTTGAGTTTTGAAAAGTGTTCTTTTAAAATACTGGGGAACTGGGGTTGTTTAGTCTAGAGAAGAGAAGACTGAGAGGTGACCTTATTGCTCTTTACAACTACCTAAAAGGAGGTTGTAGTGAGGCTGGTGTTGGTCTCTTCTCCCAAATTAATAATGATAGGATGAGAGGCAATGGCTTCAAGTTGCACCAGGGGAGGTTCCAATTGGCTATTAAGAAGAATTTCTTCACTAAGAGAGTGGTTAGACACTGGAATGGGCTGCCCAGGGAAGTGGTAGAGTCACCATCCTTGGAGGTGTTCAAAAAACGAGTAGCTGTAGCATTTGAGGTTATGGTTAGGAAAGTGGGGGGAGGAAAGTTGGACTTGATGATCCTAGAAATCCTTTCCAACCATGGTGATTCTATGATTCTTGTCCTGCACACAGCTTTCATCTAACTGAGGCTACTGCAACGACAAATGAAAAGAAACCAGAAATCTGATCTATATTTGTCTGCTTTATCCCCTACACCTGCAATAGAGCTGTGGCAAGGGGCACACAATTAACAGGGATTTTTATCCTCATAACACGAGCTACTATTCGGGTTTGTTTTCATCAACCAACAGATCTTATCGGTTCTGTTTCCATTATTTCAATTCTACCTCATGCAGTACTTAATAGTAACAACTGTTGCTTTGAAACAAAAGAAATGACCAGGTGCCTTCCCCTTTTATAGAAACTGAGTCATATTTGAATTCTTTCATCTGATAAGCAAATGAGCAGACAAGCAAGTCCAGACTTCCCAACAGATACAGCTTCTTTAGAAGCCCACTAGAAGCTGTCCACATGCAGTATCTACATCTGACTACGATTACACAGCTGTAAGAGGTGTGAGTGCAGTTCAGCTGAGTAAATCTGAGCTTGCTTTAAACAATCCAGTTTGGACACCATCAGCAACACGGCTATGACAGCTCTGTATTAACAGCAAACTAGCCTTCCAAAAACCTGTTCAGCTCCAAGGCTGCTAAACTCAAGCTACCAGCTTAAAATTAGCTTGGCTTATCTCCATAAACTTCAGGCACACTTCTAACTGCGGTATAAACCCACTCTTGGAATATTGCAGGTCCAGAAGTAGTGGACAGTAGCAGGCACAAATATCAAGAAGGAAGCAGGGACTCCTGATCAGTACTGCATAGTTTCAGGTTCACCTAAAACCAGAAAAAACAGGCTTTCCAAAAGCATGCTAAAACCGTCAACAGAGTTTGTTTGACAGAATTCAGTATGGGCTTGCCTTTTAATCTCAAGACAGCCAAAGCACACAAAATCTCTTAGTTAGAAACACACCATGAAGATAAAAGGTCAGTTCTGTTCTCCAAAGATGGGTCTGAACACAACACAATTTGCCTCTTAAGCTTAGGTTGTTCCATATACGCTCTAACTCATTTTTAACACAGGTTGGTTTTCATAAACATTACCTTATAAAACCAAAACTTTCACCGTCACTAATTTTCTCTTTTTCTATTTGGTGAAAACAACTAATAAAAGTACTTAAAGCTCATTCACTGTATAAAGTTGCAAGCTTCCTTGGTGGAAAGCCTCTAGAATTCAAGGTTCCCTGTGCTCATGTAGCTTCTGCAATGAATTTAATGGCATTTTCTGTAAATTCTTTTTTTCCCTGGTAACTTTTTGTATCACTCTCTTATATATTCACTTTCAACTTCAGTCTTCAGAATTACAAGAGAAACTAGGCTGACAATTTTATTTCCAGTTCCTGCCTCTCAACAGGCATTAGCACAAATGTTCTGAACCAGTTTCCTGCACAATACTGAAGAAGAGATGACACCTGTCATACCACAAATGGCACAAAAATCCATGCATGCAAATGCTCTTAGTGCCTTATCCAGCTTCTCTGTTGTTACTCTCCAACCCTAAGGTTTTCCTGAGACATATAAGACTTATTAATATCAAGTAAAACTCCTGAAAAATCCCAAATTTTTATACTGTGTAAAGTTAACAAATAGATCCTGCAGACACTAAAAATGAAAAAGTAAAATGATAGCAGATTTTATCAGCAAACAACAGATCCACTACTCAGTCAACTTCCTAAGTTGTACTGAATTAGTAAGACATACTTAAAAAAAAGATACTAGCCTATAGCCTTTAAAAACTCTCTACAAACTAACTCTTCATGGTCACCAACAAACAAGGTTTCATCCTCCCTCACTGTGCAGACAATACAATGCCTTGAAACATGGAGAACACCAAGCTTGAATTAATAGATCTGTTGTCTGCTCTGCCTCTGTATTTTGAGCTTGCTAGCTAGACCTACAAGAACTCAGCAGCTGTGATGCAGCCTCTAGCTAATGTTGGTTTGCCCAGCTAACTAGTCCTTCATTACAGCAAATGGGCAATAAATTCAGCTCTAACTTCTGCTTCTAGAAATCCTACAACTTTGCATTATTCAAGCCCTATGATGGTAAACAAGGTTAACTGTTGTCTTCAAGAACAGTAACAGAGAAAGTACCTTGAAATTTAGCCCTATATGGCAAAACCTTGAAGAATGCAACCTTCTCCTACAATACACAACACACAAACATCCCCATAAAATGGTTTGTTCCCTTAATAAGAACCCAAATGATAAATTGCCATACAGTCCCAGAAAGATTAATTTTCATTTTCCATTAATGGTCGCAACAAAAATATTTTATCTGGCTTCACAAATCCAACATCACTGTTAATTCAGCCCATGTCAAGAAGAGCTTTAAAGTCTCTGTGGCACTTAGAGGTCTTGTTACTTAAAGGTCTAACTTTTCAGATGGCAAAAAGCCCTTTATTTTCATATTACCTTCTGTCAGTGGTTCAAGTTCATATAATCCTTCAGTCCTCAAATAATACTTCTATATTTCTCAAGTTTAAC